GAGATATTGGAAGCTAATGATAATGAGGACACAAGTTTCCATAATCTTTGGGACACTGCTAAAGCAGTCATAAGAGGGAAGTTTATAGAAATTAATGCTCATAGAGGAAGACAGAAAGAAGGCAAATGGATCACCTAACATCATGCCTCAGAGAATTGGAGAAGCAACAGCAAAATCACCCAAAAAAACTTCAGGAGAAAGGAAATAATAAAGATCTGAGCAGAAATAAATGAAATAGAAAATAAGCGAACTATACAGAAAATAAATGAAAGTAAAAGCTGGTTCTTTAAAAAGATAAACAAAATTGATACACCACTAGCAAGACTTATTAAGAAGAAGAGAGAATGGAACCAGGTGAATCAAATCTGCAATGAAGCAGGAAATATAACAACAGACAAAGCAGAAATACAGAACATAATTAGAAGATATTATAAACTACTATATGCCAAGAAGCAAGATAATCTGGATGAGATGGACAAAATCCTGGACATGTATAATCTATCAAAATTGAGCCAGGAGGATACAGAAAGTCTAAATAAGCCCATAACAAGCCAGGAGATTGAATCAGTAATAGCCTTCCAACAAAGAAAAGCCCTGGCCCTGATGGCTTCACCTCTGAATTCTATAAAACTTTTAAAGAAGAATTAACCCCCATTCTGCTAAAGTTATTTCTAAAGATCCAAAAGGGTGAATCTCTCCCGAATTCATTCTATGAAGCCTCTATCACCCTTATCCTCAAAACAGATAAGGACGGGACAAGGAAGGAAAACTATAGACCAATATCTCTGGTGAATATAGGATTTTAAATTGTTTATGCAGTAAAATAAGTTTGTAATTTAATTTAATTTTTCATGAGTTTTTTGAAGTCCCCTCATATTTATATATCTGTGACAATGTATATATCTATCAATCTATATCCATTAGTTACTTTTAATGTGTCATGTATAATGTGTCATGTATAGTCATATAAACATGTTAAAAGATTAATAAATATGTGTGTTAATCTTTCATGGTCATTTGCAGTTTACCAGTAAATAAAGAAATAAACTAAAGGGGAAAAGGTCTAAAGACAATGATTAAGTTTATAACTTGCTGTATATCTGTGGAATAGTAAGGATGTTAAATTAAAAAAAAATTCAATAACACTTGTTGAAGATGGTAGGCAGAAAAGGGGAGACTATCATTATATGTGTAGAGACTATGACAATGGGGTGGGTGAGAATGATTGGGTTCATCTCTGAATACAGCATAGGCAAGTGCAAATTTATGTCCAAGGAACATGATGGGAATCAGTGGATGTAAATTTACTAAGAGGTAGCATTAGAGTTAAGAGGATTCTGCCCAAATAGATCTGATAGGATTCCAACATGATCAAACATTACCTGGGAAATGGTGGAATATGAGGAACCTGATCAGATATTGAGTATAATCAGATATTGAAGGTAGATGGTTCTTGCTAAAGTGACTTAGCAGGTTTCTTATCAAAACCAGATTTTACAAAGAAGTGCCCAGATAGGCCTAGGAGAAGATTCAAGGGCCTGAAAAGACTCTTTTTCCAGGATTACTATATATGTATAGTTCTCTGTTTCTTTAAAGACATAGAAGTTCTGGTTCCTTCCTTCTATTCTTGGTTTTCTTTTGTTGAATGCTAAGTATAAAGGAAGTTTACTGATACATGATAAGGGTATCCAATGGAGGATGGTTAAGAGTATCCAACTTAAACTCAGAAATGATATCTAGAGTGAAGCATCACTACAAGGAATAAAATATCATGGTCTGTGTAGATAAGGCATTTCACAAATAACTAAATAAATAATACACACACATACACACACACACACACACACACACACACATATATCCCATCTATTTTATTTTTGGAGAGGTTTTTGCTATAGGGTGCATGCACTTGACAGAAAGACAGAGAGAGACAGAAAGCGAGAAATCGCCCACCCAAGGGTAATGGCCACGCTGCAATTCCTTCTCCTCCATTTCCCTCTCAGGATCTTGAGCACACACGCACATATGCCTGGTGTAAGTTTAAGTCACCGGGTCTGGGACTTGAACTGTGGTCGACTACATGGGAGTCCAGCGACATAGCTATTACACCAACTGCTGGTCCCCCCCCCATCTGTTTTATATATGAGAAAAAAATACACAGCTCTTGGTACTCATGGAAGACTTGTTTTTATTTATTACAGTTCCACAGAAGTAGAAATGCTCACGTGAGAGTAGTGTGGTTACTCCTGTAAGGTCATTCTGTGAAACCAAGTGCTCAGTTGTTCTCTAAAGAAGCTTATGAATCCACTGTGCTTCAGGCTGAGAAATAAAGTAGAAAAATAAAAATTAAAAATTAAATTTCTGGTAAGTACATCTGCACCTCCCTGGACTATCTTTGGAACTTGCAGCACTCATTCTACCCAGTGCTCCCTGCTGCCTGGGATCAACACACCTTCTTGTGAGTATACCTCCCATCTCCTGGGACTATCTTTGGGACTTGTGAAACTCTGTCCCCTGACACTCATTGCTGCCTAGGCTCAACCTACACTTGGGCTTGGTCTCAGCAGGCCTCTTATGAATCTATTCCAATAAATAGGAAAAAAAATATATATTACTGCATCAGATTACCAAAAACCAGTGCAGACCTCAAAGAAACATGAGAAAACAAAGAAGTAACTCTGCTACTGGTGAGTGCAGTAGCCCTTCACCAATGATAGTAAGCACAAAGGAATCCACAGAAGTGTAAGAAAAAAATTCTGAACATATATATAACAAAACCCCATGAGATGCAAGAGAAAACAGACAATAAATTGTAGAAAACGAGAAAACCATTCCAGGACATGAAAGAGAAACTCCATAAAGAGATAGTCACCGTAAAAAAATAATCAAACAGAACTTCTGGAAGTGAATAATACAATACAAGAAATTGAAATCTCCCTAGAAAGCATTAACAGCAGATTGGACCATATAGAACAAAGAATTTTTAACCTTGAAGACAAAGTTTCCAGCATAAACCAAACTACCAAAAAAGAATGAAAAAATAAAAGCAACAAAAAAAAGAATAAGATATGGAAAATTTTAGATACCATAAAACACCAAATATCTGAAAACTGGGGATTCCAGGTGGCAAAAAGCTGCCAAAGGCATGGGAAACCTCATTTATGAAATACTATCTGAAATCTTTCCAAATCTAGAGAAACATGAAGAAATTCAGATATAGGAAATAAAAGGAACTTCAGATAAAATCAAAATAAAAGTATCTTCTCCTCCCCAGCACATAATATCCAGATTGGTAAAAATCAATGACAAAGCCAATATTCTAAATATGGCAAGATAGAAAAATTAAGTTACTTATAAATGTTATCCCATTAGGCTAGCTTCAGACCTCTGAACTGAAACAATGCAGACAAGGAAAAAATGGGAGGATATTAGAACATTTAAAGAAAAATAATTTCAACTAAGAATACTATATACAGAAAGAATATCCCTCAAATGGGAAGGGTGAATAAAAGTATTCTCAGATAAGCAAAAACTGAAACAATTTACCAATACTGGACCAGCTCTACAAGAAGTACTGAAATAATTATTGTATCAGAAAAACTAAAGAGAGAAAAACAGAAGTAAAAGAACAAAAAACAGCCAAGAAAATAGCTAAAAATAAATGACAGGGATAAGTCCATAAATATCAATAACAACATTGAATGTTAATAGATTAAAATTTCCTATTAAGAGGGAACCAGCAGTTAGCGTAATGGCTATGTCGCTGGACTCCCACGTAGTCGACCGCAGTTCGCGTCCCGGACCCGGTGGCTTAAAACTCACGCCGGGCGCGTGTGCGTGCGTGTCCAAGATCCCGAGAGGAGAATGGAGGAGAAGGGATTGTGGCGTGACCATCCCCCCTGGGGGGTGATTTCTTGCTTTCTGTCTCTATGTCTCTCTCTGTCTGGCGAGCGCATGCGCCCTACAGTGAAAATCTCTCCAAAAAAAAAAAAAAATTCCTATTGAGACATTCTGGCTGAATTTTTTTTTTTTTAAAAAAGAAGTCATCTATATGCCGCTTACAAGAAACACACCTCACTGATAAAGACATACATAAACTAAAAGTGAAGGGCTTTTACTGCATGCAAATGGAAACCAAAAAAAAAAAAGTCTGGAGCTGTAAGAATTATTAAATCAGACAAAATGGATTTTAAGACGAAAGATGCAAGAAGAGACAAAGAAGAAACTTACATAGTACTAAAATGACTTATTCACCAAGAAGATACAACTTTTTTTTTTTTTTTTGAGAGATTTTCATTGTAGGGCGCGTGCGCTCGCCAGACAGACAGAGAGAGACATAGAGACAGAAAGCGAGAAATCACCCCCCAGGGGGGATGGTCACGCCGCAATCCCTTCTCCTCCATTCTCCTCTCGGGATCTTGGGCACGCACGCACACGCGCCTGGCGTGAGTTTTAAGCCACCGGGTCCGGGACACGAACCGCGGTCGACTATGTGGGAGTCCAGCAACATAGCCATTACGCTAACTGCTGGTTCCCAACATTTTCAAATATTTACACACCCAATACCGGAGCACCCAAATATGTGAAAGAGAGACTGTTATATCTGAATGGAGAGATAAACTGCAACATTATAGTTGTTTGTGGATATGAAAACCCCACTATCTCCTCTGTAAATATTATCTAGCTAAAAAAATAAACAAAGAGGTATAAGATCTAAATGACTATAAATGAAATGGACTTGAAAGACATTTATAGGAGTTTTCACCCCCAAACCACAAAACATACATTTTTTTTTATCCCCACATGAACCATTTTCAAAGATCAAGCATATGATAGGTCTTGAAATAAGCCTTAACAATTTCACATGTATAGAAACTATATCCAGCATCATTTATGACTATGAAAAAAATCAAACATGAAGTCAACTAAAGAAAGAGCCCTCAAAAATAAATAAATACATGGAAATTAAACAACCTATTCCTGAATAACTTCACAATTACTGAAGAAATTATGTCTGAAATCAAAAGGTTCATAGAAATCAATGATAATGGACAAACAAGTGTTCATACTCTATGGGACATATGAAAAGCAGTCATGGGAACCAGCAGTTGGCGTAATGGCTATGTTGCTGGACTCCCTCGTAGTCGACCACAGTTCGTGTCCTAGACCCGGTGGCTTAAAACTCACACCAGGCGTGTGTGCGTGCATGCCCAAGATCCCGAGAGGAGAATGGAGGAGAAGGGATTGCGGCGTGACCATCCCCCCTGGGGGGTGATTTCTCGCTGTCTCTATGTCTCTCTCTCTCTCTCTGTCTGGCGAGCGCATGAGCCCTATATCAAAAACCTCTCTCCCCCCCCAAAAAAAAAGCAGTAATAAGAGGGAAGATCATAGCAATTAGTGTCCATGAAAAGAAAACAGAAAGGTGGCAAACAATGTAATGACACAATTCAGGGAACTGGAAAAACAACAGTAAAAATTCCAGGAGAAAAGAAATAAAGATTTGAGCAGAAATAAATAAAATATAGAATAAAATAACTATATAGGAAATAAATGAAACTAAAAGGTGGTTCTTTGAGGAGATAAACAAAATTGACACACTGTTAGCTAGATTAATCAAGAAGAACAGAGATAGGAACCAGATAAATCAAATTAGCAAGGAAACAGGTGATATTACAACAGACATAACAGAAATACAAAGCATCATCAGAGAGTAACGTGAGTGATTATATACCAACAAACAGGAAAACCTAGAGCAGATGGACAACATTCTGGACATGCGTAACTTACCAAGATTGAACCAGGAAGAAATAGAAAGCCTGAATAAACAAACCCATAAAAAGCAATGGGATTGAATCAGTAATAAATAGTCACCCAACAAAGAAAGGTTCCGATGGCTTTACTTCTGAATTTTAAAAACCTTTAAAGAAATACTAACCCAAATTCTCAAGCTATATCTAAAGATCCAAAAGGAAAAAACCCTCCCAAATTCATTCTATGAAGCCACCGTCATCCTGGTTTCCAAAACCAATAAGAACATAACAACAACAACGAAAAGACTTCTGTCCAATATCCTCAATGAATACAGATGTAAAAATTCTCAACAAGATACTAGCATGTTGTGGCCCACAACACCATGACCAGGTAGGCTTTATTTCATGGATGCAAGTGTTGTTCAACATACACAAAACAATAAACATAATACATTAATTACAGTAACAGGAAGAAAGGGAAAAACCTATGATCATATCAATTGGTGCAGAAAAAGCATTTGATAAAATACAACTTCTTTTTATGATTAAGACTCTCAGCAAAACTGGCACAGAAGAGACATTCTTCAACATAATAAAAGTCACCTATGAGAAACCCATAGCTAACATCATATTAATGGGGGAAAGCTTAAAGCAGTTCCACTAAAAACTGGAAGACAATGCTGTACACTCTCTCCACTCTACTCCTCTTCAACATAGTACTGGAAGTTCTATGCAATAAGACAAGAAAGTCTAATAAAGTAATTCAAACAGAAAAAGGAGTAAAATGATCTCTATTTGCATGTAATATGATTCTATACATAGAAAATCCAAAAGAATCTACAGAAAAATCCCTGGAAGTAATAAGCAAATACAGTGAAGTGGCAAGATACAAAATCAACATATGAAAATCTAGAGTTTACATACACCAACAATGGAACAATGAACAGACTGAAAGAATTGACTGTAGCAATCCCATTTGAAATAACCACAAAAACAGTAAGATATCTAGGAATGAAGCTAACCAAAAAAGTTAAAAACCTCTACAAAGAAACAATGAAATATTTGAGAAAGAAAGAAAAAATGATACAAAAAAGAGGAAAAACAACTCATATTCCTGGATTAAAAGAACTAATATAATCAAAATGGCAATCCTCCCCAAATTAATCTACAAACTCAGTGCAATTCCAATCAAACTACCAGAGATATTCCTCATAGAGGTAGAAAAAAACAATCATAAAATTTGTCTGGATACATAAAAGGCCCAGTATCGCCAAAACTCTACTGTACAAGGGGAATAAAGTAGGAGGTATCTCAATTCCTGGCCCCAAAGCTGTGATAATCAAACAACTGCTTTACATAAAAAGTCACGTATGTTTAAGTTAGATAAATTATTTTTACTTTCTATAATTTTGCTGCTGTTTTATGTCTCTTATTTTTACGTTAATAAACTTCAATGTTTACGCATAGTTAGCTATTCCATAGTTAATTTTAACTGAGAGACAACATATTTAAGGGATATGAAAATGGAAGATTATCTGTTGATGATAACATGTATGATATCTTCAACTG